TCAAAGCCTGTCTAGATCACACACATACAGTGGGGCAAAAAAGCATTTAGTCAGCCACCGATTGTGCAAGTTCTCCCACTTAAAATGATGACAGAGGTCAGTAATTTACATCATAGGTACACTTCAACGGTGAGAGACAGAATGTGAAAAATAATCCATGAATTCACATGGCAGGATTTTTAAAGAATTTATTTGTAATTCAGGGTGGAAAATAAGTATTTGGTCACTTCAAACAAGGAAAATCTCTGGCTCTCACAGACCTGTAACATCTTCTTTAAGAAGCTTTTCTGTCCTCCACTCATTACCTGTATTAATGGCACCTGTTTGAACTCATTATCTGTATAAAAGACAGCCTCAAACAGTCGGACTCCAAACTCCGCTATGGCCAAGACCAAAGAGCTTTCGAAGGACACCAGGAAAAGAATTGTAGACCTGCACCAGACTGGGAAGAGTGAATCTACAATAGGCAAGCATCTTGGTGTGAAAACATCAACTGTGGGAGCAATTATCAGAAAATGGAAGACATACAAGACCACTGATAATCTCCCTCGATCTGGGGCTCCACGCAAGATCTCATCCCGTGGGGTCAAAATGATCATGAGAACGGTGAGCAAGAATCCCAGAACCACACGGGGGAACCTGGTGAATGACCTGCAGAGAGCTGGGACCACAGTAACAAAGGTCACCATCAGTTACACACTACAACGGCAGGGAATCAAATCCTGCAGTGCCAGACGTGTTCCGCTGCTGAAGCCAGTGCATGTCCAGGCCCGTCTGAAGTTTGCCAGAGAGCACATGGATGATACAGCAGAGGATTGGGAGAATGTCATGTGGTCAGATGAAACCAAAGTAGAACTTTTTGGTATAAACTCAACTCGTCGTGTTTGGAGGAAGAAGAATACTGAGTTGCATCCTAAGAACACCATATCTACTGTGAAGCATGGGGGTGGGAACATCATGCTTTGGGGCTGTTTTTCTGCTAAGGGGACAGGACGACTGATCCGTGTTAAGGACAGAATGAATGGGGCCATGTATCGTGAGATTCTGAGCCAAAACCTCCTTCCATCAGTGAGAGCTTTGAAGATGAAACGTGGCTGGGTCTTCCAACACGACAATGATCCCAAACACACCACCCGGGCAACAAAGGAGTGGCTCCGTAAGAAGCATTTGAAAGTCCTGGAGTGGCCTAGCCAGTCTCCAGACCTCAACCCCATAGAAAATCTGTGGAGGGAGTTGAAAGTCCGTGTTGCTCGGCAACAGCCCCAAAACATCACTGCTCTCTAGAAGATCTGCATGGAGGAATGGGCCAAAATACCAGGTACTGTGTGTGCAAACCTGGTAAAGACCTATAGTACTCGTTTGACCTCTGTTATTGCCAACAAAGGTTATGTTACAAAGTATTGAGTTGAATTTTTGTTATTGACCAAATACTTATTTTCCACCCTGATTTACAAATAAATTCTTTAAAAATCCTGCCATGTGAATTCATGGATTTTTTTTCACATTCTGTCTCTCACAGTTGAAGTGTACCTATGATGTAAATTACTGACCTCTGTCATCATTTTAAGTGGGAGAACTTGCACAATCGGTGGCTGACTAAATACTTTTTTGCCCCACTGTAACTGGTGCGCCCTTAGGTTTGTCTAAAGGAGGGATCGGGTCACACTGTGTGAACCAGCTCTGAGGGTTTAATGGCAGTTTGAGCACTGGGACCTAAAACATGCCCTGGAGTTGTGTCTGTTTCTACTCAGCTCTAGACATGTGGTCATAATGTATGGCTGATTGTTGTATTTGCCCAGTGAAGCAGAACACTACCCATCCTTTTAACTTTTATAATTTAACAAAAGATTCAAACCAGTTGAATTTAGCTGGAGCCATTTTTGCACCCAAGGGAATTCTTTCTGTTTGAGAAGAACATTGTAAATACGTTATTTTAATGAACACCGATTAGTTAGAGAGATGAGTGCACTGATGTGTGAGACAGCCAAGTCACATAAATCTAGTCCTCTGAGCTGAGATACGACTCAGATTTTCGGCGTCTCGTTAGATAGATGGGTGGATGGACTTCTTGCTGCTCAGAGGGGAGCTTTTTTTAATCAGTGCCTTCAGTTTCTTTGAGCTCTGATGCTGTTGCCCCAGCAGATGGCTGCAAGGCAAATTCCTCTCTTTTGCCACCCACTTATGTAAAAACGTTTTGCTGCAAACATAGCAAGGTAGAAAGGAGAAGAAAGTCATCAGCTCTCTGGCTGCTGTAAGCTTCTTTGCAAAGTTTTAATCATTTTTCTGCAGAGCTGTTTACCATAAAAGTAGTTTCAGCTCACATGGAAAACATGTGCCACGAACAATCCAGTGTCACAACAACAACAGGAAACTCTGATGTGTAAAGCAATTAACTCGCCTTGGAAACAGATTTTTGCTTTATTTTAATAGAAAAAAATGAGAATGTGGCTCTGCTTGTGGAGTGCAGATAAATTATCATATTTGAAAGTGTTGAAATCCCTCGAGAGAATCAGAGTTCTGAGTGTTGGAGGCATTTAGAGTCGACTCGTTTAGGTATTTCTGATGAGTGGGAGCGCCGCTGGTGAGACCTAGGGCCTGTGTTTGAACGTAAGAGGGCTGCAAATACAAAATACGCAGTGCGTTTTATTTGTAGAAAGTATCCTGCAATGAAAACTCATTTCGGCCGCTTGTATCCGCAATCTCGTTCTTTCGGTCACTACCCAAAGCTCATGACCATAGGTGAGGGTAGGAACGTAGATCGACCGGTAAATCGAGAGCTTCGCCTCCCGGCTCCGCTCTCTGTTCACCAGTTAATCAGTACAACGCCTGCATCACTGCAGACGCAGCACCACCTATCGATCTTGCGCTCCATCTTTCCCTCACTGGTGAACAAAACCCCGAGATACTTAAACTCCTCCACTTGAGGCAGGACCTACTCCCTGACCCGAAACCCCCCCCCCCCCCCCCCCACACACACACACACACACACAGACACACACACACACACACCAAGTAGTGTTTCTATGGTTACATTGTCATTTCTTAGTAAATATTCTATTTGGTGAGAGACAAACTTTATTGTATTTATCCTATTGAATCTATAATTAAACGGGTAAACTAGTAGTAGCACATTCGATGTTGAAGATAGTAAAATGTTATTATCAGGAGAGGGAGAATGTTTAAGTGGTTAGCAGCAGTGTTCAAGATGATGGTGCCCTCCTTGAGGCCACAACAGCTCAGCTGAACGTCATTGTAGCTTCTTCTGGGGAGAAAAACACTCCCCCACTTGTCCAGATCTAGGCTAACAACAGATTTTAACCATAGACCCTATCAAATAAAAATGTTTTAAGCCTAGACTTAAAAGTAGACAAGGTGTCTTCCTCACGGACTAAAGCTGGGAGCTGGTTCCACAAGAGAGGAGCCTTTTTATTCCTTTTATACGTTTTTATGAATTTCCTGAGTTATTCTGTTGTTGACCTTTCCATTAATCGTGCTATTCAGGTTCAGGGGTCTTATTTATCAAACATTGCGTAGAATCCTTACTAAAACCCGGGCTGCATGGTGGCGCAGTTGTTAGCACTGTTGCCTCGCAGGTTCGAAACTTGGCTGCGGCCTTTCTGCGTGGAGTTGCGTGTTCTCCCCATGCATGCGTGGGTTTCCTCCGGGTACTCCGGTTTCCCCCACAGATCACAACATGCCCTATAGGTTATAAATTGTAAGTCGCTTTGGATAAAAGCCTCTGCCAAATAAATAAACATAAAACCGTACTGAAGCTCAACAAAAAAAAATGTACTTACGCCAAGCAGGTTTGTGATCTATCAAACATGGAGTACGCACAGCTGCACGTAATCTCTGCTTCATAAATCGGAGACTAACAAGAAAGTTTCTCAGCTGCATTTTAGTCACATCCCGCTCTCACCACGCCCACTTACTGCCATAAATAGTCAATGCAAAGTGCCTTGTGGATCTCATGCATATACATAAGCCGGCTGTTGCAGCGTTCCGCCAATGACATGGCGACCGTAGATCAAGGAAGCGCAATTTCACACAAGCAGAAATGGAGGTACTTGTGGGTGAGGTGGAGAAATGAAAGGAAGTGCTTTTGCAAAACAAATAAGAGAAAATGCACGGAGTGTCACAGCGTTGCTGAAGCCGTCAATGTTGTGAATTCTTCAGAGAGATCTGTGGCGGTTTTAAAAAAAAGGTCCAATTAGGATTCGATCCCCAGACTCCAGGGTGAAAGTCACACACACTAACCAGTCAGCCAAATGGAGATCTCCCTTGTCCAAGTAGCCAGGGCGCATCATCAATCGGGTCACAGTGACATGACACACACCCTGTCACAGACGCATGACATTCCGTCTCAATCTGTCCCCCCTGCTGATATTCTGCAGTCCGTATTCTGCGCTTTGAGTGTGTGCGCATGTGTGTGTGCACGTGTGTGTGTGCATGTGGGGGGTCTTGTTCTGTGTGAAAAAGAAGCAGTACAAGTGATAATGCTGCAGGATTTCATTTAATCCTTCTCAGCAGCAGCACTGCAGGTGCTCTCCATGTCCAACATGTGTGTAAGCCAGGTCCTTAGTCAACTTAAAGTTGCGCACATTTTTCCACTAAGTTTTCTTTCATAATCCCAAAGTTTGCGTGGAAAGTTGCTTACGCAGTTTTCCGACCCCGTTTTGTGCGTAAGCAAGCTTGATAAATGAGGCCCCAGGCCAGTTTCGGTAGAGATTTTACAAAGATCCACTTCATCATCATCATCATCATCATCATCCTTTATTTATAAAGCGCATTTAAACAGCGACTACACCAACCAACTTCAGAGGCGCTACGCGTTGCCTCAGAGGCACAGGTTGGAGACCCCTGAGCTAATGGGTGGTCTGAGTGTAGCTAAGATCTAAGATGCTACATTTGGAGTAGACATGAACTCATCAGTCCTGAAGGATGGAAAGAAGTTCAGTTCAGAAGCTCTCGCTGACTGTTCTCTTCTGTTCTGTCTGAAGGTTCCTGTTGATGGACCAGGACTCTACACCGGCCCGGTCTTCACTGCTGCTTCCACTGGTCCTCTGTTTTCCACATGAACACACAATATCTGGACTAAATTACATTTTTCTTTCAAAATGTCTGTTAAACAACAACAACAACAAATCCCTGAGTCGGTTGGTTTTTATCAACATGTTAAACTTGTAAAGAACCATTTGATTAAAGCTGGATGGTGTGTGCATGTACTGTATGTATGTAAGTTATGTACATATGTATATTGTGTGTATTGTGTAGTATCGGTTTTATCTGGTTTAGTTTAAATGTTTTCTCTTTGATGTGTTTTTTTTCTCAGCTTCAACCAGCTGGGAGCTAAACGAAGACATGGAGCAGAAAATGTCAGAGCTCTGCTTGCTTTCCTTTTGTTTGTCTGCAGATTTTAGTCCTAGCTCATCTAAATGTCTCCCATGTCTACTTATAGCCTTCTAAAATATGCAAACTCAAATAAAGACTATATTTATGTAACGTAGCACATGCTCACATTGTTTTTCCTCATCGTGATCAACATGAAATGTCCCACAGTTGGTACCGAAGAAGCTTTTCAGATCAGAGGAACGACTCTAAAATCCAACAAAAGCTCAGTGGTGGGGTTCTGCGATGGGGGTGGTGGGTGTGTGGTTGGGGTTGGGGGTGGGGGGTGACCACTGCCAATAAAGTTTTTTAAAGCCCCGCCCCTTCACGTAAATCAAATCTCAGGTCATTTTTCCAGGCGGGACTTTCAGCCGCCCACTCAAGAGTGTGAACTCTGGTTCCTCAAATCCAACATGGCGACTGGCGTAAATTTGACGCTTTAGCTGTTCCATGAGGGGTTCTGTTGCTGACTAAAGTAATAGACAAAGGATTTACATCAACCTCTATGGGTTAAATGTGAATTCAAAATATCTCATTGTTGGGACAGTGTGATGGTGCAGTTGGGCCCAATCACAGTGCTTGCACTTGCGCCCTTCAGTTGTGCATTCCTGGCCAGGGGAGCGAGTGAGTAAGGTGTTCTGAGTCTTAAGTGTGGATGTTGACCACACCCCTTTTGCACACTTGATCTGCACTTATCCTAAAGTCCACATCAATGGCCCAATCGCAATACTCGCACTTCCACCCTAGCGTCCTTCAGTAGCACGATCCCGGCCAGGGGTGAGAGTGCATGAGGTGTCTCGATACTCAAGTGCGGGAGATGGTCACGCCCTTTTTGCACCCTTGATGCACACTTCACTCAGGTCAGCAGAGATGCAGACCTGGGTGTATTACCCACAATCCATTGCTGCGGGAGAAACGACTAAAGTGCCTTTTCTGAAAATATGTATTATATAATGAAATTAGTTCATTTTAGGACATTTAGTTGATGCTCTGACACCTTTAGGCAAAGCAGCAATTAATGTAAATTTATTTCAAATAATTGTTTGGCTGTTTGTTTGAAAGTTGTTAATAAAGGTTTTGTAAAAAAAAATATCGCAGCGACCAGCATCCCGGCATGCGTTGCGATCGATGACGCAATGTTCCCTGTCTCAATTTGGGAATTATCTGCACACTTGTGTACCACGCACTTGAACCCTACTGCACACTTTCTCTAAGTGCACTTTGCTGAAGACCGCAGGGCGAGTAGTGGGATCGGGCCAATGTAGACTTTAGGCAACGGAATTACCCGCAATCCATTGCTGTGTGGGAATTTTGAGAAGAAGACGTTCCTTTTCTGAAAATGTGTATTTTCAAATGAAAGACTTTCATTTAAAATAATTACTGATATTTATTCATGCTCTGGACTAAGACTTGATGTGGACAGCAGTGAGTCTAAATTTTGTCAAATCATTGTTTGTTTGAAAGTTGTTAATAAAGATTGCTTAAAAAGTAGCACACACCCGTCTAGTTTGGACCTTCTAGAGCAGGGATAACCAACCCTGGTCCTATCCACCATGTGTTAGTTGTTTACCTGCTCCAATACTCCTGGTTTTAATCAGCAGGTGATTAACAGGCTGGATAATGCACTGCAACTCTAGAAGATACAGAAGACCACAACATAGAGGGGAAAACTCTACAACAGTACCTTAAATTTGGACTGCTATTAGATAAGGAGCTGTTATGATGCACAACTCCATAAATATTTAGAATGAAGTATGACTCCGTCAATCTGGCTCTGCATTGGTACTAGACAAATGTGCCATCCACTTATTGACATTGTTTTGTGTAGATTATTGCTACTTCCTGGGCATTCGAGCCTGTTGCTGCTCAGGTGGGCTGCAGGGTCATTAGCCAGGAGCTAGCGCTCATTAACGTTTCCATCCATGTACGAATGACAAGGATGTCTCGCTGCCACCCACTGACGGTTTGGCCCGATGCTGAAGTGTTTAGCTGCATCCTATCCTTTAACTGCAACCAGCGTGGGCTGCTGAGACATCCTGCAAAGTTTTGGGTGAAACTGGCCCTATTATAGCATCCGTCTTGGAGATTTGGGTACAATAATTAGTGACTAGAAACATGACAGCTGGAGAGAGTAAGACTTCTGCCAACCCACGGACAACACAATGACTGTTTGCTTCTCAATCACCACAAAAAACAACTTTTAACAGAAGAGGATTTAAAAATAAAATCTCATATGTGTGTAGCAGAAATGCTGCCTCAAAGTCTGACCCTGAGATGAGTTTATTCCAGTGTGTGGAGGACAGTGAGACTTACACACTTGTCATGAAGAGTCAGACAAACAAGAATAGTCAGAAACCAAGTGAGACACAAAGAATGAACAGGACAGCACTGAGAGACGAGGAAATAAAAAGACGTGTTCTGTCCTTTTGGATCAAGCCATGACTTGTTGGTTTTTTCTTCTCTGAGGGCAGTTTCGGCTCTAGTTGGGATCTCAGAGCTGACGCCAAAATGAAAGTATTGTAATATTAAAAATACATAGATATAGAATTACTTTTAGGTTATAGGTGTTGCTGAAAGATGGCAAGATGGAGGAGAGTGAACTGATAGATTAAGGTTTCAGTCACTGGTTGTCACACTGGTGTGTTCACCAAACTTGACCCAGGAGCTATTTGGTGGTTAACCCCCCCAATCAAGTCTCTTAGTAGTTCTCATGCAGTGGCCCTTGACAATTTAGGGCAATACACTATCCCAGTAAGTGTGTGTGTGTGCTTGCGTGCATGTGTGTGTGTGTGGTGGTGGTGGTGGTGGTGGTGGTGGGGGGGGGGGGGGGGGGGGGGGGGGGTTCGGGTCGGGTGACCCCAAGGCACTGAAGTTCGTAGATTAACCGCAATGCGACCAAATCAGTCCAGAGTTGTCTCCCGGATCACAACAGCATGAAGGTTGGTTGTGTCTAAGAATGGACTCTGAAGGAACCACTTGCTGTGTCGGCTGCAGCATACAACAGCCTTGATGGCTTGTCAAAAGATGCGGTGGTTCAAAGAGTTTCCTTCCGGGTTGGCCAGTCCAGAGTTCTGCTCAAACTGAATCAAGTCAGGAAGGGATTCTAGTTTTATTAATTCTATGTTATGATTTACTGGTGAATCAGAATTTGACATGTTAAGGAGGGTTTACCAACAAACCTGAGAAACCACCTTTCTCAGATACAGGATACTCTGATTTGTGGATGAGAAAGCAATGTGTAATGAGAATACTTTAACCTTGTCATCTTGTCATGTGTATGAGTGTGTGAGCTGTCAAGTCACGTACGTTTATTATCAGACAAATGGATATTGCAAGGACACATTCATTTCATCCTTATTAATTTAAGCACAGATTAATCAACCTTATTAATTTAAGCACAGATTAATCCCAACATTTCATTTAACACCTTGTCCATTCATTACCTGATTTCATTATAAAGGTTCATCTTTTGTTCTGTGAAGCACAGCAATCTGAGATACGAGGAAAGCTTTAAGAGAGACTTTGGTGAAGCAATAGTTTGTTGACAGTATGTTATCGTGTGTGCCAAGGCACTGCAGAATCTTCCTTGCAGCTCGGAAAATTAAAGGCACCAGATGCAGACTTAAGTCTGCAGCTGACCGGATACTGAAGAGGTCAAACTGTAGATGAAAAATGACCATTTCTGGATGCTACACTGTCTTGTTTTGACTAGCTCCACAGGGATTTACGTGTGTGAACCAATGTAAACAGTCTTTCTGCCATTCATCATGGCAAAGGGGGTGGTTGCATGAGGGGAGTGATATCACTTGCAAAGGGAACACTGGAGCGTACTAGAAGGTGCATTTATTCCTTAACTCATTCGCTGCCAGCCTTTTCCTGATCGGTAAAGCTCTTCGCTGCCAGTGTTTCTCTTTTTAAGAGTCACAGAATGTTGTGCGCCAGGATGATATCAGCGCCAAAACAAGCAAAACAAAGCGGAGACTCACCTCTTACATCAGGAAGAATCTGCGCATTTCGAGCGTTATCCGTTCTTTCATAATCCGTTGTCGAATTGTGATCGGCAGCTTTTCAGGTTCGCGCTTCTCTTTTTTTTTTACAGCAGCAGCCCAAAACGATTAGACTAGTGAACTAGACCAAATTCTTGCTTTGCAAAGTTTGGTCTAGGAACGCTCCACTGGAATCTCTGCAGCCCCTAACAGCATTCTGGCTGGCCAATCACAGCTCTCTAGAGGGGTTTCAAACACATAAGAGCTGTGATTGGTCCATAATGGTGGGCCAATCATAGTGCTCTATCTGCTTAGTGAACAAATCACAGAGCTTTATCCGCTTTGTGGGCCAATCAGGGCACTCTATATGCCTGGTGGGTGGGATGATGCAACAGAGGGAAACAAGATGGCGACGGCTCCTTTGAAACGGCTTTTACATCAATTTTGGACTATTAGAACTTGGGCTTCATTAGAATCAGGAGCAGATAGATATATTTAAGTGCCTTTTTTTTTTTAGAAAAAATGATGTGTTTTCTCCTTCAACTGTGGGCCGCCTCATTTACCGATAGCTGTTGTGGTGAGTATGTCACACTCATTGTCCAGTAGCATGCAGAGATCATTTGAAAGACAACGGTAGAACCCGCCCCACAACCGAGAGCCATCAATGGAGCGTTGCCAGACTAAGCAATACATTTAGTTAGTCTGGCTTGCCAGGCTACAAAACGTTCTCCTAACATATGGATGTTCTGCTTCCTGATCATGTGACGTGTGATGTATGCAGAGCTGAGATGTTTGTTCATACGGTGTGGGGGCTCGTTCCGATGCCCACACAGTAAAAACATGCAAATGACGACTTTAGTTGTCATTGGCAGTGAATGAGCTAATTTGACTTCCTGCAGTTAGTTTGTCTATTTTCTCTTTTTTGTCTATTAAGAGAAAATGCATAATAATACATTTTGTGTATATAAACATGTGTGTGTGTGTGTGTGTGTGTGTGTGTGTGTGTGTGTGTGTGTATGTGTGTGTGTGTGTATGTGTTTAATCAGAGCTAAATTCTATCTTCAGTCCCTTTGCAAATGATTGCGAGCCACAAGAAATGTGTAATAGCAGCAAATTATTCCATGATTTCACT